AAGGGGGTGGTCTCAAGTCACGCTGGAGGTTGTCCTTTGAGCGAGGGCAGAGCCCGTGCCGACCACGGCCCTCGCATTTTAAACTGTCCGAAATGAGGTGCTACATCTGTACTTGATATTAAAAAACAAAGGTTATTTAAAACACTTTACATTTGCAAGCTAAAGTTAAACAAACATCAAACAAATGTTGTTCAGTTAACCTGTTACAACTAAAAGGACCAAAAAGCATGTTCTACCTTCAGGGCGTCAACAACAGGCGCCTCCTTTGTACTTCCATCATACCAAAGGCAGCTTTATTTCACAGAGGCTTCAGCAGAGTGCTGTTGGCTGTCGGCTCTGCACCTTCCCATGCAGTGGCTCCTGATGGAAGGTCAAGATGGCTGTTCAATGTAAGGAGAGCCACTGTCCCACATGAAATGAGAAAAGAGAAGGTAACACAAAAAAAGAGAGTACAGAACCATATACTATTCCAATACAAATACAATTGGTATGTTTATTAAAAGTATTATTTCTATTCATCAAAAGTTACTTATTCTTAGATTTACAATTCTTACAACTTATATTTTAATAGAAAACAATGAATGAACCCAAACCTTACAACAAAGTAAATGACTGCAAACTAACCTTGCTATTTCTTTAACTTTTCTAACTATAAATATCATGCATTTTGTTCGAAATACAGTTCATGTTTTTTGTATGTTTGTTTTAGCTTAAATTAGCACTTTTCACAAGCCCATACAAAGCAGATCTTTTGTCCAAAAAAATATTCCAATAAAATCAGATTTCTGGCACCGTTTACATTCATGCTGCACTTTGTTATTTAGGGAAGACAAAAATAATACAAGTAGTAATTTGGCTGGTCTTCATAAGCTTTACTCCAGGTGTAACTGCCAACTGAATAGTGAAACTTATATACCTAAGATGGGTTTGTACCTTTCAATCAGAATCAGACAAATGAAAATATACACAATACAAGTACTAATGCTGTTTATTAAATAACAAATAGCTAAGTGAGTGGGAAAAATGATACAAAACCCCACACAATTGGGCACAGATGAATGGGACGAGCTTACTGTTGAGGTAGTCCTGGGTCCAAATGGTATCTTGACAAATATATGACACCCATCACCCACACACCTCTCAAAAGACGGGGCTTTGGCCAGCTGCTGGAAGAATTGCTCCTTCTCCTTCAGTCTTGGGGCAGCGGGAAGTTGAACCACTTAACCGAACTCCTTTGCAGACCGGTCTGCAGACTGTGTCTCTGGGATCTTGAACGGCCCGGGACACCACAATCTATGATAAACTGTGTTCTAGCCAGTACAGTGTATTAGCATTATGTAGTGTCCAAAGGCCTGTCTCCTACCAGCGTGCAGGAGGTAGTGTTTATCATGTAAATGCAGCATAGGAACAATACAGTTGAGGTAAATGGATGCTTGTAGATGTTTAGCTGTTGAAGGGCACATGGGTGAACCCTCAAAACAGATAACTTTGCACAACATTCTTTTCTATTTTTTATGACAAACATGTTGTATGTCTGATATTCTAAATTCATAATTATTATGTTTTGATAATTAATTGTTCATGCCAAAATGGGAGAATTTGTTTTCCCACATGTGGGAATGTTCTTTTCAGTTTTTATACCATATTTAACTGAATATCATGCATGTTGGACTGATAAGACATTTAAAGTCATCCCCTTTGGCTTTTGAAAGACTGGGACAGACATTGTTCACTCTTTTAATAAAGTAGTGAACTTTTAGATATACTTATGTTCACATAAAAAAGAAACAATGCAAATATCATAAATATGACATCATACATTTTCATAGCTATTCTTTCACAAACATTATCAGTGCACCTTTTTTTATCATATGCATAAGAAAAAGAAAGCATTACAGCAGACTGCAGAGTGCCAAAACAGGAAGGAATACATAATCTCAAACATGCAGCAGCAGGCCTAAAACACTTTATCATAACCACACACACAGCAAGTGAAATAGCAAGTGAACTCTGAACTCCTGTAGCATCAACAACAACAACGCAGCAAAGAGTTTTATCAACTAAAACAAAGATAAATAAAAGATAAATACTGTCCCATCAGGGGGAAAAGGGCAGTATATGTGTATATAAAAACTCACGTTATCCGCCGTTGAAGAGCATTCTGCTTTATGTCATGAAGTATCCACATATAGCCTGTCTCACTGTTTTGTGCTTTTTGTTGTTGACGTAACTCCATTGCAAAAGTTTAAAATAATATGTTAGCAAAAATGTAAAACAGGCTAAGTCTCCCGGTTGTGTCATGTCATTTAGATAAGTTGCAATTTTCGTCTTCACAATTAAATTCAAAGTTTCTTTCATTGAGGCCTGTACATTCACAGCTGTGCAGTAACATGCGGCGTCATCTGATTGTTTGGTCCACCGGAAGTTTAACTTCACCTGGCGGGCTTTTGTTTGGGTGCAATACCACGTTTGACCACGCAGACTGACAGTTGTGGCCCTTATAACCCAGGGGGGCGCTGTTTCAATCATTTTAAGAAACATAACTTTAATTGAAGGGACAAAGAAATTATTGGATTATCAACTACTACTATATTACTGCTTTAAGAAATAACTATCACAGCAACAAGTAAGTGAATTTACTCTCGCACCATGCAATTATTAAAAACATATAATTAAAGTTAGTGAAATAAGTGGTTTGTTATTGAAAGCAGCATTACAGTAATGTAATAAAACAGGGTAGTCAAAGAGTCAAACGTGTTGCTTTGTTTTTTTTATGGTACTGAGTTAGTGAAAGTACAATATGGATATGCAAATCTGAGAAAACGATCAGCATTACAGGTCGGACATATTTTACCCAAATATTTAAAATGGTCCTTGATCAAACCTGCTGTGATAAATTAAATGATGTGTGAGATTTGCAGTAAAACATGATTTTCAGACTCAGACATGGAAGATTAGTATAGATTCAATGGTAGTTTAATTTGAACATTCAACATAATTATCAATTATCATCACTCACATATTTGTGTTTTTTATAACCTAAGATCTGGTAAATGGAAATGACTGACTTTACCGTTATTTTCATTTTCAATAACTCTGTTTGATTCTGTTCACAACAAAAAACGAAACCTTTATGATCAGCACACAAGGGGACGAAGGACAAAATAAACTGAGAAATAAATTGATGTGAAGACAAGAATTGGAGCAAAGAATGAGAACAAGGGGAAGAGGAAGAGATGGTAAAAGCTAATGGCTGGAGACGTCTTGAACTAAAAGGCACAGGGAAATAAGGATGGGAGAAATTGGGGAGGCGAAGGGAAATCTAAGAAATAAAGAAGTGAGAAAAATGATCAGATAGAAGGAACAGTAGTCATGGAAACTTGACAGACATTGATATTACTCATATGTCTCAAACCTACAATATTAGAGCTGTGAATAAACAGTAAAAGAGTGACAACACTTTGCAACTGTTGTAAACAAAGCAGCAATGTATAAAGTAAACAATACAGTAGTAGTTACATTATAGTATTTGCTATACTTTTAATCATGTTAGTCATTATAGGCAGTTAAGAATCGTACGGATGTGGAGGATTTTTTCAGCTGCGTAGTGACAGTGTGAAGGTTTGCTGATACAGACTGGAGCACACTGTTTTTTGGTCAATAACAGCATGCTGCTTTTTTCACCTCCATCTGACAAAATCAAATGATACACTTAAACATATTTGAAGAACATGCTCTATGGAAAGAAGTGTTTTTCTGTATAAACCTTAAAGCACACCAAAAAATCAGAATTACATTGTTATCATATAACATACTGAATGCATCACACATTAACTCTGTAAGAGGAAAGAAAATGTTCCTGGTAATGCCGCAACTTCACATTAAACATGAGGCTATACCAAAAAGGCTGTGGCAGGGTTAAGGCTTCTCCTGCTTTGGACCCAATTACATTTTATAGGGCATTCAAAGACAACCCGATCAGAGAGATGCATACTGTATGTATTTAATATAACCATCATTTATTTGGAAATGTAAGAAAGGCCGGAATTTTTACTGTTTTATCAGTGAGCCATGTACCTTTATCCATCCAAAGCTATTGAACATTCCGAAGCAGTTAATGACAAAATTGCAGGAACATTTTTTAAGTTCAAAATAAGAACTCCCAAGGCACTAAAACTTCGAAAAATCTACAATATCTGTCAATTATCTTTGACATACTCATCTGTTAAGGCAAATGTATTTGACTTTGGCATAATGACTTGATTAAAGTTGCTTCCCTGTCAGTCAGAACGCATGCAAGGCAGTTATTCAAAGGGTAACATAAACCAGCTGAAAAAACTAAATATTTCCTGTTTTTGCTCCATTAGTTTGATATCTCACCCTACTGTAATGATGTAGAAACGTACCTCAGGGTGTGGCAGTGCACTGTGACATCACAGAGCAAACTTATGACCACAAAAAAGTACCCTCATCAGTGATTCACACTAGAAACATTCATCCACAGGAGACAGGGAAACAATTATTTTCAGCACAGCATCAAATTACTCTTTAATAATAGGTGTTTTGGTTAAAAAAGCATTCAATTTCCGACTATGCTGTGAGCCCTCATAACTGCTCATACATTTCCTTGGTATCTGCAGCTATGTGTAGATTCTGCATGATGGTGAATTTACTGTAGGGTTTTCCTGATGTTGATTTGAATGGGAATTTCTCACTTATGAAGTTGAACTTTTTATAAAGGAGAAAAATATATTCCAGATTTTCATGTCAAACCTCACGTGGCTCAAAGTCTGGTGTGCAACAGCAAACTGAAGAATAACACAACATTAGATCAATGTGTTAGATCATCTCTGCAGAAAGAGTCTTTTATGGTTTTTCAATGAACTCGCATGTGAGGATGATGTCCATTATATAGTGAAGCAGGTTAGCTAGGCACATACAGTTTTTCCCTTTCTCTCCAAAAGGGGGAGAAACAGACAGATTTCCTCACACACATCTCCTTGGTGTGACATCAAGGGAGCTCTTCACTCTCGGCCCTCCTCTCAGTGTCCAGAGCTATCAGCACTCACATTAACGTCATGCAAATACACTTTGAAAATATAGAATTAATCGGGTTAGGGTATATATTTATATAGATTTATACATACATACAAATTCATATACTTTTAAGGAATGTTAATCTATTTTGTTGTGTATTTTTTCTCCTTACAAGGTACAAAATAACTTTCCATACTATGTAAAACATTATATAATCAACGTATTAAAAGAAACACACAACTTATCAGTCCTTTCATCATCTTTTAGAAAAAAAAATCCATAATAAAAATAAGTTCTATGTTTTTTCTCACTTATATCTTACAATATATTTTCTCTCTGTCAAAAAACACGCACACATGTCCCATTTTTGTTTTCGTCTGTGGTTTCTCTCGGTGGTGGTCAAACTGAATGTGTAAAAAAAAATATCACATATTGGTGGAGTTCATCAACGTGAAAAAATCTCAGAGCAACAGTCACGTTGACTTGTAGAATTCACAAAATGGCAGCGGTGGGTGTTACCAATCAAACGAACAAATGGTGGTGTTACAAAGGGCACTTGGAGCAGCCGCACTCCAGAGCAGTTTCCATCTCCTCGGAGTACGAGGTGCCGTCTGTGCATCGGAAAACCGCCTTCCTTCTTCTGCTCTTGGTGACGCCACAGCAAACACCCGAGGGCGCTGCTGCCTGGCAGGATCGGGGACAATCCATGCGGGGAATCTTCGTGGTGGACGTGCATGTTTTCAAGGGGTGGTAGCGTTTCAGCAGCTCCCTCACCATCTCTCCTTGACATGTAAGCTCTAGAGGTTAACAAAGACATAAAACACACACATTAAACACTATGTACTTATTTTGTCATAATTTCCTCCATCTCTTCTTCCAACATTCTCCATTTTACCTGTGTCACAGCTTGGCCCGGTGTACCCCGGCTGACAGTGGCAGATGGGTTGTCCTCCTTCGGACACGTGACACTCCCCGTGTCCGCAGCGCTGCCCTCTGCAGGCTGGAGGCTCCTGCCGTCGATCACAGTACTGACCCTGGTAGCCTTCACTGCACTGGCAGCTGTAGGACTGACCCTTTGGCACACACAGACCCTGAATACATCTGGAGTGAGAGGAAGGGAATGGAAGGAAAGGGAAGGCAGGTTAGATGGGGGGAATCAGACTTGCAGAAATTAGTGCATACAGTAAATCCATATGATTTTTCTGACCCATACAACAGTGCATATTTCCTGCGGCCTGGGCTCACCTGCTGTTCTGACAGGCGCTTGGTGCCGTCGTCTGATCACACAGGGCCCCGCTGCGTCCTGGAGGACAATCACATGTTACCCCCGTCTCTCCTCCCTCCCTGCATGCACCCTGGGCGCATACACTGCAGGAATGGCACCCTGCGAGAAAGCCCTCACTCTGTTAACAGAAGAAGAAAGGGAGAAAATACTGTCAGGGGGGAAGTGAGTGGACGGGCCTTTTATTGATAACAGAAGAAAGCTGAGGGGCAGTTAGCTGAAAAACATTTTGATGTTGCGTGAATACCACAGACTACCTGTCATCCATTATTAATATTGTTTCACAATGGAAAGACATATAACTAGAACAGAAAAGGTTAATATTGTAAACTTCCCAAAGAAAGTAATATAACAGATTTTGTATTTTAATTTCGTAATTTGACATTTCTGCTACATATCTGCTTTCTCTTTCAGTCATGCATTTCTCACTGTGGCACTAAAGACTGCTTTAAAGATTCTACTTTAAATACATGATGCTGGTTTTTGTTGCAAAATACGATGTTTCCCCTTGTTTATACCTTGGGCTCGACCCCTTGTGGCCGTGCTCCTCCTGAACCTCGGTAACTCAGGTCTTGAGGCTCCCCATTGATTCGGACATTGTGGATGCAACCATTAAAAGTCTGAGGGGAACGTTCAGGGCCGGGTCGTAAACCTGAGGCCACCACCTGAGAGGGTACGCCTGGAAAGCAGAGGAGAACAAGACAGGTTATAGAAAAGGAAGATTATGATTGAAGAAAAAATAATGGAAATAAAGACAACTTATTCAAATTAAAAGCATGATTGCTTGATTAGTGAACTCATACTCTGGTTTCATTATTTGTTGATTCTTCGATTAAATCGCAATGTTGCAGCAAGAATAGTCAAACATAGCTCTCACTGCATTGTACAATACAGCATTATGTTTCTTTTAAGTATTTGAGAGAAAAGCTTGAGTGTTCTAAGGGGGTTGTCTTGATCTCTTTTTTGAGGGAAAACTTGAACAAAAACCGTTCTACATCTCCTCACCACATCCCTTGGTGGGATTTAGTGTGTTTCTGTGGGTGTGTCTGGGTGTGTGTGTGTGTGTGTGTGTGTGTGTGTGTGTGTGTGTGTGTGTGTGTGTGTGTGTGTGTGTGTGTGTGTGTGTGTCACAACCACACAAAAGCAGTAAAGGGCAGTCAAAAGTCAAATCTATATGTTCAAAACATGTGTCTACATGTGTGTAAGTGTTAGTGTACGTACCTCCTATGTAAAGTTGGGTGTTGTGGTCGACGGAGGGCTGGCGTGCTAGCTTGCCGAGGCTCTTGGGAGCACCGTTATCCACCACCAGGCTCAGTGAGCGGTTCTGAATCAGCAGCTCAACGGTGTGGAAAAGCCCGTCATTCACCGACTCCACGCTACAACAAAAACACACAACAAAAAGATTTTCAGTATGTTTCCTATTACGAGAAATTACTGTTGAATTCACCAGACAGGAGAGTTGTGGAGGAAAAAAAAACACGGTTAGCGCAAAATATACCAGACACAAAACAGACCCCAGGCATTTTCAAGTCAAACCATTTTTTCTTTGTTTTGTGTTTGCAAATCAACCAAAGTAAAGGAAAATAAATTACGGAAATCTGTGTTGAAATGTTATTTCCAGACATAAAACAGACTGATTACATCCTCAATGCAGTGTTGTTTTGGGGGAGATTATAATGTGCCCTTGATGTAGGCCTTGGTTTCCTAACATGGGGGTTGTGGCCCAGAATGGGTCCCCGCATAGTCTTGCTTATTCACATGAGCTGGAGCCTCGGGTCGAGACTACATTTATACAATTTAATGGCCAGACCTAACCAGTTAAGACCGTTGTGTTCAAGAAAGAGGCTCTCTTACTAGAGCGCTGATATTTTTTGGTGATATACATATTTCCACTGAAGAGGAGAATGCTATGAAACAGGCTCATGACCTTTTGCACCATGTATGACCCTGGGAAAAAAAGTGTGTGTGTGGGTTTTTGTGTGTGTGTATGTGCGCCTGAGATTCCCCACTAAGTGGTTTTCTGCTGGAGGGGAGACAGACAGCTATAGAGACAGTGGTTTGGCACAGCTGACAGAGGGAGAGAGAGAGCGAGAGACAGAGAGGGGAAGAGAGGTAGAGTAGATGGTGGGGTGGTAAAGCTGACTGTGCCTCCGTTCACCAAGTTATTCCTTCCCTGAACCCCGGAGAAAACAAGCAGAAAATCAAAAACACAAAAGAATAAGTGAAGACCCTCTTTCCGCTGGTGGTCTGCTGCAGGCTCCCACAGCCAAGCATCAAGACAAAGCTTCCCTTTGTCTGCAGACATGCATTGGCTAACTATCGAAGGAGCCTCAAGTGAGCAGTGATTGACAGATGTTTATAAATCGTTTAGATTACAGTGATGTTACATTAACAACAAATGGAGCAAGGTTGTGAGGTCTGGAGGTAAGCCACATAGAAAACAATCTCCATACAAAAGCAAGAACAAATATTTTTGAGCATATGCAGTAGCATAGGAAGTACGGTTAAAATGTTTATGTACCATAACCGTCTCAGAAAATATCATGCGCTTAGGGTTGACACTATTTTTGTTTTACCGTTTTCATTTTATTATTATAATTATGTATTAGGTATTACTTTTTGATACTTATTAATTTGAGTTAGAATTACACTCAAGGATCATAAGTCTAATCCCATCCAAAAAAGAATAATAAACCGGATTCTGAAAAATATTATAATTTGTTGTATAGACAATCTCAAGCACGTTAGTTGAGATGTAAGTAGCACTAAAGCTAAGGTGAAATCTGAATATAAATATCTGTAAGCTCTGATGATATACAAATAAACACATCAAGATAACCGGCAATGTTCATTCCTTAGTATTCCGCTGCATCGCTTATCAGAAGAAGAGGAAGGAGATAATTGTAAGATGGAAACTAAGACTATGACGGTAAGAAGTTGAAGTAAATAGACGATTGAGAAGTAGCAAAAGAAGTTCAAATGAAATTAATAAGGAATTGGGGGAAAATAAATGAAACAATTAAATAAAATCCTTTCTGAAATATGTTTCTTTCACCAGCTGACCAATAGTCATAAAGTGTGCATTTTGTACTGTTCATTTACTTTGCATTCTGTTTTTTGCACCAAAATATACACATCTTCAATTTGGAAACTATGCCTACTTTATGCAGTTTAGTAGAATTTAGCTGGCGGTTTATTAAAAAAAGAGCTCTTACTTCACTGTGGACCTAACACAGACACATACATGGTTTCCATTAGGAGCCATATAATGTAATAAAGGTCTCAAACAGGCCTGCTGCAACCAAACAACGAGATGGTCTGCTATTCTGAAAGATTAGCTCTTTATCTCACTACTCTCTTCTCTATCCAATTTTCTCTCCCTAAACATGTCTTATCGTTCTCTTCTTTCCTTCCTTCCTTTGCATACTCATTTTCCTCCCTAACTCCTCGCGCTAGACTCTCTACTTCTCTTTTCGCTCATCTGTTCCCTGCTTTAAGACAGTAAGTCACGTAGACTCCTTTTAATTATCTCCTTTTTATATAAGCACTTCTTTCGTTTTTAAATGTGTTCATGAGGCTGCAAAATTAAATCAAACAAGCAGCTCATGCAATTTTATTTTAAATCAGGTTTGAACGACAGACAGACAAACAGCCACACAGACAGACACACCCGCACCCACACCCACACACTCTTAGATATTAACGTCGCACACACTCGTGGATATTAACGTGCTGTGACACAGAAGCTCCACTGGGTGGCAGTAGATGACTAATGGTAAATCCTTCAATGTCCGAACAGATGCCAGACCTGCAGGGTTGTGTGCGTGTGTGTGTGTGTGTGTGTGTGTGTGTGTGTGTGTGTGTGTGTGTGTGTGTGTGTGTGTGTGTGTGTGTGTGTGTGTGTGTGTGTGTGTGTGTGTGTGTGTGTGTGTGTGTGTGTGTGCGTGCGTGCGTGCGTGTGTGTGTGTGTGTCATATTTTTTTTTACAATATCAGGCATGTGTGTTACAAAAAAAGTGGAAGCTATCCAGAATTTCACTGAGACATGTTTGAGTGTGACACACATAACAAATATACAGATGTGTATCTCAATAGCTTATATTTTGGTGAAAGCTGTGTGAGGGATATTTCTACTTTTTAATGGATTTTTTGGTTTTTCTGTGTGACTGCATACGTCAGTGTTAGTTTCAGGTTCTTTGAAGTCTGCTGTGTTGGCTCTGCATTTAGGGAAAAAGCAGCCTATTATGAAATTTTATAAAAAACAAACACACAGCCGTAGCAGATTTCAACTGCCCCGCTCTCTTTTATCATGATGTTATTGCCAAAACCACAAGGGACGTCAATTTCCTGTCAGTCCAAAATCAAAAACACCCTCAATGATACAGAAAAATACACTTCACCAAAATAATTACTTCCTATAAACCAAAAAACTGGCTTGTTTTTAATGCAACTGAATCAAATACAAACCCAGAAGTAATGACAGATCTTTGAGTATATCTCAACCTGCAAAACATGTTTTGATTAAAAACAACCACTTTACACACTGTTAAATCTAATTAGGAACTGCTATCTTTTACTTCCAATGTGTCTAAACCACATTTAGGGTCTTTGTGTTTCCACAGTATATGTGTGTCGTTGCATGACGACGTGAATTACTGGTATTTGTTTTAGTAATCATGCATGTTTTTGTGAATATATATACTTTTTTGTTTCTCGCTGTATTTTTGCACATGGTCTTTAAACCATAAATGTCCGTTTCTGAGTCTGCAAGTGTGTGTGTTGTGTGAGTGAGTATCCTTCCATTTGTGCATGTATGAGCATGTGTATCAGTCTTTGTATTTGTGTGCGTTTAGCAGCCCAGTCTGATTAAAAGGATGTTCTGCAGACAGAAATCCCAGTCCCATATTGCCGTGGTAACCTCAATTAGTCATTGCTGGGATGGCAGCTGCTGAACGGCGAGCTCATTCACTGTTTTCTTTCTTTTTTCAACTTTCATTAAAGCCGGCCGTCCGGTTCAGATGAAATTTGTACTTTTCAAGAGTGGAGTCTGAAGATTCCAGGAATGAGCGCTCGTTGTTTCAGGCATATAAGGTTTCAGTATTAGACTGTTTGAATTGCCTCTGAGCGTTTTAAACCTATAATGTTCAAGGACTGTCTGTTTGCTTTAACCACAGGCCTGCAGCCACATTCAGGTCAAACATTCAGTCACTCATCTAAATCTGGGCATCATTTAATATTGTAAGAACTATTTCGAACTATAAAATACTAGTTAAGTTGTGTGATTGGAACAGCCCTAGAAAATATCGTAGCCACAACTTTTTTTACAAAATAATTTGTATTTATTTGAAATGCCGAACATGAGGAGAAACCGGGTTACAGTTATTCATGGGTGTGTATGGGGAGTGATATATAGTGGTGCATGGAATTCACTGTGAGTAAAAAGCACACCTGTAAAATGTTATGAAGATAAATACAGCCCTGCGAAAACCTCCTAATGTAACTGATGTGGATTTTACTTTGTAGTGCTTTTATCATAAATTACATTACATGCATCTGTGTACCTAATGTCCCCAGAGTATCTTCGGACCTATAACTCATTTTAGTTTGAATGAGTTTCACTTCTGAAATGCAATACGTTTGCATTTTAAACTTTTATAAACTTTGGATAGGAACTTATTTTTTTTCTCCTTGTATTCCCTTTGAGGGCATGTGGGGGTTCACTCTATCCCTCAGATAATAATGCCTTCAGCTCTGCATCTCATCAGGAGCTATCATGCCTTCTGCCAACGTATTAAAACTTATTAAAACCTGCAATGGTGGCATATTGCTTTGTTTCATACCTCTTAACCAATAAAACACAAAATGGTATTAATATTGTTCACTATTCTCTCTCATTCAGTGAAACAAGTAAGTATTTACTGTTTAGTTTATACAATAAGTATAGCAACTGTCCCACAGTCTTCTATGTTCTTTCCTGCATCCCTTACCCTCTCCTGTCCTACCATCCATCATGATTCCTCCTTAACCTACTTCTTTCTTTTCCCCTCCTTTCTGTGGGCTCATCCATCCATCTATCTCTTCCTCTGCCCTTAACTTTCTTTATCCTTGTTTTCCCCTCCCATGTAGCCATGCCTCCCTGTGTTGCTCGCTGATGAATAACAGTAGACGTGCTCTCTTTGACCGGATGGGAGATTAGTGTGGCATTAGTAAAGGGCAGCACATTAATACACAACACACACACCGTCCTCCAGCACATGTGTTCATTCAACACCAGGCATGCATAACCACCCTCATCTGTTGCTAATGAGGGCACAGTGAAGGACTTGTACACCTTCTCCTATCTCTCTTTCTGTCACTCTCCCTCCCCCAACTTTCTC